GAGTGTGTGTATGAATAGATAGACATTTCTTGGTCTGTTCACATCTATCTATCTATCTATCTATCTATCTATCTATCTGAGTGTGTGTATGAATAGATAGACATTACTTGATCTGTTCATATCTATCTATCTATCTATCTATCTATCTATCTATCTATCTATTCGCGGACCAGGTCTAAAATATTGGTTACCATGTGACGAAGTTGTGTGTGCACCCACAACTACAATGCTATAATTTAATTTTCATATAAACATTATATAAATTACATTTTTCATAAATAAAAAAAAACAGCACAAAAAGCCTAAAAATTATTTTTTTTTGTGGAAAAATATGTATTTCTTAATAATTACAATGTCCATCTACTTTACATATGGATGATTATACCCGCTGTTAATACAGAATGCTGTAATTGAATTCACACGTTAACAGAGAAAAACACACTTGTCTCTGTTTCTTCATTGCATTTTTATTTTATATAGAGGGGTACACTCCATCAGGGCCATACTTGCCATCGGGCAAGCTGACACCCTGGCCAATCCGCCCACAATTTACACATTAACGGATATTTCAAAAGCACATTAGAGCATTGCATTTAGTCCATTATATTAAGAGCAATCGTTTGTGTTCACGAGATGATTGTTCAAATCTGCCAATAATTGCTTCTGCATCCAATTTATATAACACTTCCTTTTCAATGGATAGCAACATGATTCAGAATTCTCCTCAGACAGCGAATTTCTTAGTCTTGTCTTTATGAGGTTTAGCTTTGAAAATTTCCTCGTACATTGTTCTTGATTAACTGTTAGCGTGTACGGATGACTTGATAAAGTTCATATTCGTTTCTGTTATTAAGACACTTGCTGTATTTGTTTCTTCCTTGCTGTTTTATTTGATGTAGAGGGACCCATTCCATCAGGGCCCCACTTGCTATCGAGCAACGTGACACTCTGGCCAATCCACCACCTGGTCCCGTCCATGTCCCATCAGGGAGAAGTAAGTTCCATTTGGACAGCTTTGTCCGGTTAACCACTGCTCCGTGGGACCGATTCCCAAGACGGAGTTTCCTCGGTCACTACAAGGCTAGGGTTAACCGTTATCTTTCCTTCCTATTCACAAAAATTGCTTCTTAAGCCTCTACCTCGGGTGGCCCCCGGACCTTCTTTTCTTACACACGCACATATAATATTATGGAAAATGTTTATCAAACAGCCTTATACACTGATATATACCCCCGTCCCGCTATTTGACGGATATATAACTTTTCTAAGTGCACGAGTTTAAATCGAGGAAAAAATGTCACAGCTTATTTGTGACTTTTACCTTTTAGGTCTTTTATGATGTCAACGAACAGTCGTTGTCACTTTTGTGGTGTCAACGAATACTCGTTGTCACTTTCGTAATGCTCGTTGTAGTAGAGACTTTGTAATCGCAGATACAACTATAGTAACGCCGTCGAACAATACTGGTGTCAGACGCCTTCGAATAACACACGTACTAATAGTACTTGCTCAATAATACTCTCTCGAATAGTAACCGCCGATTAGTGATCCGAATAATAATCCGTATAGGGTATTTATTCTGTAAAAATACAAAATTGTGGCACAAGGCCGAAGGGCAAAATAGGGAGGGGCTGATCTTCATTAGATAGATATGTAGATAGATAATTGGCAGACTGAGATAGATAGATAGATAGATAGATAGATAGATAGATAGATAGATATAAACAGAGATAGACAGATATGAACATAGATAGATAGATAGATAGATAGATAGATAGATAGATAGATAGATAGATAGATATGAAGAAACTGAGATAGATAGATAAATAGATAGATAGATTGATATGAACATAGATAAATAGATAGATAGATAGATATGAACAGACAGATATAAACAGAGATAGACAGATATGAACATAGATCTGATCATAGATAGATACATATGAACAGACAGGAATAGATAGATAGATAGATAGATAGATAGATAGATAGATAGAATTTTTAAATTTAGTTTTTTTTATTCATTTGCTATCCTACTCCTAGTTAAACCGAATCACGACCCATTCATTCATAACTATTTACTCATTTACCGCAAGAACCCACAGCCCTGGGGGGGATACAGGAGGTTGCTACACTTTCAGAAGTCGGGTTCTAATTCAGCGGCCTGCAAGGACAGCAGCCAGGTACTGATGGTCAAGCCTTCATATACCACAATACCACATATTTACAGGGGACCTACAAAAACTACCCCTGACATAAATATTCGGTAAAATTTCAAAATATATAAAAATTTCGTGATTCACGAAATGGTGGGGAAGGGGAAATGAACCCTGCAAAGAAACTCAAAATGTAACCCAAAGATAAAACTAAAACAACGTTAGTAGAAACTTCTTCGGAGACAAGTCCGGGCCAACGCTCCGACCTTTGCCTGTACTTCTGACCAATTCTTCTTCAGCTGGAGTCCGGGCCCGAACCACAATCCAAGAATGCGGACAGGTCCATCAGTCCAACCAAAGGGCCCGGAAGCGCGACCCCCTTCCAGGCTCCTAACCGCAAACTAAAAGACTCGTTACGGTTAATCTTGGCCCCTATCACCTTCTCGTATCGTTCAAGCGCCTTCTGTACGACCTTAATGTTGCGACAGCCCGACACAAACATACAAGAGAATCGAAAAATGACAGGAAAAGCAAGAACTGACAGCGGTTTAACTCTGTTCCGTTTACTGATTATACCTATATAGCCACGAAACTTTTTTGGTTAACTTGTATATATATATATATATATATATATATATATATATATATATATATATATATATATATGAATCATTCATGCAAAAAACAGATTAGTGAATTTAATGATATAATTATATAAACTTCACTAATCTGTTTTTTGTATGAATGATTCATTTAATATAAATTGAACTGCACCACATATTTGATTTAAAAAGAATTAATCCGACGTGCAACTTTCGGGATAACAGCTCCGACATAGCTCTATTTATTGAACAATTTAGTTCATGCCGCATCGCCTGAAAATTACTACAACCAAAGAATTCTCCAATTACCATATTAGTAAAAAAAAAAAACGAACTCTCTTTTAAATTTTCAAAAAATTCAATCTTAGCGTTGCAGAATTTCTTACAGTTAACTATAACACATTTCTAAAGAACATATTTCCATTCACATTTAATATTTCGTGTCCCGTTATTACCTGGATGTATTTAAAAAACAAAAACAAAAAACAAATCAATTTCCATGCCTGATGATGTCTGTATGAACAGATGAAAGTACTAAAAAAAAAAAAAAAAAAAAAAAGACCTTATACAATTTGAATTTATTAAAAACAGGGATCATAACATTCATCTAGAGGTTCGTGGGTTAATGTAATTTTAATAAATTTGTTTGCGAAGATGTATTCTAGCCATTTATATCATTAACTTCACTAATCTGTTTTTTGTATGAATGATTCATGTAATATAAATTGAAGTGCACCACATATTTGATATATATATATATATATATATATATATATATATAGAGAGAGAGAGAGAGGAGGGTACGATAGGTAAATTGTTGCCATTTAATATTTTTATTTTCGCGGATGCATGATCTTTGTTTTCGATTATATCGACTGCACAATATAGTAGGGTCAGTTGGGCACCGTCTGTGGGCAAAAGAGCACCATGAAGAAATTCACGACGACAGAAATTCGCAAACAGCATGCTGTACTGTCTGGTATTCGCAACGGTAGCTCCAATACGGACATTTCAGAGTGTGTGGGTGTCAACCTGAGGACAGTGCAGAGGATCCGAAAAGCGTGGCCGGATATTTGGCCGACGGACATTTGGCCTAAAAAGTACAACTATATTGTTGTAGAGTAGTTTTCACAGTGGAGGCTTGTATTTTCACTAAGTCGGTCCCAACAGGGTTCGACGTACAAAACGGTAGGAACTTGAAATAATAGTGAATGACGCAGCAATCTAGTTGTGGTGGTTGATACTTTAATGTCCGACATCGACTGACACACCCAACTCCACTGAGCTCCCTGGAGACCGCTACTACTACTACTACTTATTATCTGTGGGAGAGTTTATTAACAATAGAATAGGTATGTTCCGGTATAACATATATATAGTAACAAGCAATACTTTAAGTATTTTAATTAGTAGTATTATAAGGTAGAATAGGACTAATAATTACTAATGAATTTCAAGTAATTAAATTACTAAATCTAAATTTAAAGTTAAAAGTTTTTCAATATTTGTTCATTGAAATTAGTATTTTTGAAAATATTTGAGTGTATTTGGGTAAAAGGTAGCACTTAATTATTCAAATTCGTATTTAAAAGTAAGATAAAAGCTAGTTCATCCCTTTAAGATAACGATCATTAAAACCGAAATTGAAAGGTCTTTCATATCGTAAAAGCTTTTTCTCAAAATATTTATCATCTTACAGTAATATTTGAAGTAAAATATAATATATAGAAAACAGATTAAAAAAACTGTAACAAAGAAATGAAAAATTATGAATTAACACAGTAAATAAATATCAATATATGTAGCACATTACGATAAAGAGTGTGACATACATGTAAGTACACTACATTTCGGCTAAATGTCCGTTGGCCGAATATCCGAATTATATATATATATATATATATATATATATATATATATATATATATATATATATATATATATATAGTTGTATATTTAGGCAAAAAAACCTTCCTTTATGCATGATTCATTAAAAACGATAGACAAGGTACTACGGTTAAACTTTTTGTTTCATGTTTCTTGTGTCCGAACAAGAGCTTTCTTTTCTGGACAAAGATCTATCTATCTATCTATCTATCTATCTATCTGAGTGTGTGTATGAATAGATAGACATTACTTGGTCTGTTCACATCTATCTATCTATCTATCTATCTATCTATCTATCTATCTATCGGAGTGTGTGTATGGATAGATAGACATTACTTGGTCTGTTCACATCTAT